TATATATATATATATATATATATATATATATATATATATATATATAACATTCTCCTTTTTTTTACATATCACAATTGAATTAGACTTATCAAGTATTGTCTTAACTGTTTGAATTGAGTGATATCATTAAAACAATCCTTTATTATTTTGTAAGTTATACATGTTAATGCTTCCTTTTATACGAGGTTTAAGTGTTTAAGGATCGAATTTTGACTCTTACAAATGCAAAAAATTAAGGTTGAGAGAAAATGTTTACTTATTTAACATTTATCAAACTCTCAAGACATTATTCTCAATATCGAATATTCTTTAATAATGAAAAAAAAATACAAGATCCATATTACGCTCCAATAATTATATATATATATATATATATATATTAATGTTTTATTGATACGATAAAATGATAATCAATATGAAACAAAATACGTTTTGCTAAACCATCAAACCAAACAAAATGGAGTAATTTTAAAAGAATTAACGTTGAAATTAATTTTGAAAGAATTAAATTCAAACAATTAATTTATGTTTGAAAACGATAGTTTAAAAAAAATGATTTTATGTTGACAATAAATTAAAATTACTTTTAAAATGTAAATATAAATATATTTTAAGTCTTACACCCAAAATATTTTTAAGTGGAAAAAATAAGAAATTTTACTTCTTTCAAAATCAACTTCATTCATCCCGAAATTAATTTTGAAAATCCAAAAATTCTATCCAAAGACATCTTAATCATTTTAAACATAATACTTTCTTAATTTATTAATGATATATTATTATAGTGAAACCATTTATACAAAATATAAAATACTTTTCTTAAACATTATACCTGTGTACACACATCATCTAACCAAAATGTGTCTTCCTTCTAATCTCATCCCAAATTTGCTAGAATTAAAAAAAAATTGGAAAATGGACATTGGGCCTACTTGGGCCCACCCTATCATTGCACCTAGTTGTGCTAGAATCATTTCAATTCAGGTCTATTTAAGCTTTAAAGCTTGAACCGACCAAAATAATAATAATAATAAGAAAAAAAATAGTACAAGTTTTATCATGTAAATCAACTCGTATAAGGTTAGGGGCATGTTTGGATAAACTTATGCATAAACATTTTTAGAAGAGAAAAAAAAATTTCTATAAATTAAAATTAGTTTATGCAAGAATTAAAAATAAAATTTTAAAAAAATTTAATAAAATAGAACTTCTTCAAATTACCTTATACACAAATTAGTTTTAACCTATGAAAAAATTCATTTCATTTTCTCTTCCTATTTTTCTTTTCTAAAAGTGCATATGAAAAAAATTGCCTAAATCCTATATCAATTTTACTATAAATCTTGATTTCAAATTATACAACCGTGTTTAGATAAAGAACTTTGTTAGCCATAGTAAAGGGCTAAATACACATTTCCTTCGGTAGAAGATTTACCCCTGGCATAAAAAAGAAAAGTTTTACATCAAACCTCGCTGCTTCAGTAGTTATGAGTCCTAACCCTCTTCAAAAGTGTTGAGTCTTCTCAACAATAACACGGATAACATTGGTCGTTGACATGATGTTAAATTATAAAATTAAAAGGGATAAAAAGACCACTGGTTTGTCCTCACATTCGAATCAACAAATTCATTTCTACTATCTGTGTTTTATGATGATTCGTGACATCTATGGGGGTAAAAATGACTTGAATGGATGTCATGCTATCTCATGACTTACAACATGTGAACAATAATATACACGCAAATTCTGCTGTCAGATATCTCTGGAGGAACAAAATTCCTTACTGATTTACATCTCTGTAGTTAATAATCCAATAGAAAGAATCTTATTAAAGTTGAACAAAGTAAAAAATAAAAATAAAAGAAAGCACAATCAATAGATTTTTTTTCATGTGGAAGGAGGGGCTTAAATTTTGACTGTGTCAAAACACATTTCACCCCTTCACTTTCCCCCCTTGATTTTGAGGTTGCTCATTTCAACATTCACAGAAGATTCATTTTCCTCTTCATTGGGACATTTCAGCCATGGGTGTTGCAGGCACTGTCTTGCAGTTGGTCGCTTCTCCGGTGCAAAATCAAAGAGTGGTAAAAGAAATTCTGAAAACTCTTGAGCATCATTCACTGAGAATTTATATTTATCAATCAGTAATTTGTCAAGTGGAAAGAATTTTAGCCTTCTAATCCTTTTTAGATCCCCATGCCTATCAAAGAAATCCTTGGATAGAGCTCCACCAGTAGCAATCTGCAACCCACAAGCATTAGATTAGTGGCATGCTTGCTTGCACCTCGAAGTGCACATTGACGTGAATCCAAGAAGCAACTAATAGTTGGTTTAAGGTTATTTTTGACCCAATTTTGCTCTTAACGTGGATCCTTAATGAGGAAGCAAACAAGCACTAGATAGGCTAGAATAGCTCTTAATTCAACAAATAATATAAACAAGCAGTGGAAGTGTACTCACCTTCCGAGCCATCTTTCCAAGGAGTTCCATCATCAGGGCAAGGTGATCCTGAAATCAAAACAATGCAGAGTTTATTATTAGTTTAACTCGTGAAAAACAATCTCAAAGGTAGAGACTTGTGTTCAGCAAGCTTAGGCAATCGATCACAACTGATCTATTACATTAATGATCAGAGTTGTTAATCACAGACCACTAGAGTGTAACTTTGAATTTCATCCTATGATTATAAAAACTCATTCCCAGAAATAAGAAAGCAACCAGAAATGGTTCAGAACCAGAACACCATTTTTCAGTTACGTTCACAACAGGGGTGTAGCCTGTAAAAGGGTCATAAGCAGAATATTTTTAGATAAATTGTAACATAAGATCACCCAATATAAAGGTATCGCGAATGATCTGGCAGCAGAAGAAATATTCTAAAAGTATCCTGGCACTCATGACAAATGCTCGAGTAAAATAGAGTGTAGAAAATTTGTTAACCTGACATCTAACGTACTGGTTTTACAAGGTAATTCAATTAATTTTGTTCTTATGTACTTTGTTATCTATCACATATCCCACAATAAAAGCAACATAAGTGTATGTATGAGAATTAATGATATGATAACATGACTCAACCATTCTTTTCATTTCATTTCAGATAGTCAAGCTGCATTAAAAAGATCACGTGCTTTGCACCAAATTGAAGCCTAAGGAAGGAACCTCCTTATAAAAACTGAGTTATTTTCCAACCAAATGTACCAAAGTGTAGCATAATTTGCACGTTGCCAAGGCTAATAATCAAGAATTAGTTCAAACACTTAGTCTACATCCAAACCTCCTCTCAAAAGCTCATTAATCAAATAATTAAACTAAGTATACGTATTTTTGTCTTTCAGTAAATCTAAGCTAAACAGTTCATGCTAGATCATATATCGTAAACTAAACATACATAAGATGAAGAATGAAATTAAATCATTATATCTTATTTATAAGTGAAATCATCATACCTCATCCTCACTAAAACCTTGTCCATCCTTAGGTGTAAACAACATGTCTCCAGTGGCAAGTTCAAAAGCAATGCATGCAAAAGACCACATGTCAACAGAGAAGGAATAGCCAGCCTTCAGTATAACTTCAGGCGCTCTGTACTGCCTTGTCTGTATTTCTTCTGCAAAATGCTTATCAGCCCAACAAGCATTTCCAAAATCTACTATCTTGCATCTCACATCAATCCCATCAACTCTACCACTATTTTCAACATCTCCTGATCCTCCCATTGACTCTCTTCTTCCAGATATCTTAGCAACCGCCTTCCTTGCTCTACTCTTCAACCTTTTCTCGATAAGACTTGTAACTCCACCGTTTGCGTTTCCCTCAGGCCGTTCTAGAATTGGGGAGTGTTCAGATCGAAAAGGGTCTTTGGCAGGATCAATGGTTGAACATAAAAGAATGTTTTCAGGTTTTAGGTCACTGTGGATTATACCAAGATCAGTATGCAAGTAATCCAAACCAATCAAAACGCATTTGCAAATCTCTCTAACTTTATTCAATGGAAGACCTTTGTAATGGTTATATCTGATCAAGCGAAGCAAGCTATCACCAAGAAACTCAAGGACCATACAAAGATGTTGCCCATTTGGACCTGTGTGCTTAAAGTGGTCAATCAATTGAATGACAAATTTTGAATTTGACGGGTCACTGTCAGCTACGGATGAAAGAACATCAATCTCATGAAGGGCAGCCTGAACAAACTGGGCGGCACTTTTCTGTATCTTGAGAGCAACATATGACTGAAAACCACAATCTTAAAATTAGATAAGATTCGGAAAAAAATTTACAGGTGCAACAAAATAATAACAAGAAATTTTCATTGGTTGGGGTAGAGCTAAACTCAATGAGAATACATGCACAACCATACATAAATGTTTCACCTTCATAGAAGGTTTTTGAATTGATCTTAAAATACATGAACAAAGGATGAACTTGGACATGGTTCTTAGCAACAGTGACTGGAAGACTATTTTTTGGCAACCACCCCACCTGGATCAATGGAGAGAGTGTCATTGTGCCTACGCTGTACAAGTTAACCCCCTTCTTTGCTTTCAAAATTCAAGCACTAGCAGGATCCTACATGTATTTTATGGTAGCACAAGTGTTGGAACCACACACAGATGGTAGTTACAAACATAAAAGACTCATTACTCTTAACCCAACTCACCTCCGCTGAATCAGAACTTAACTCCAGAACGACAATTACTACCATTCCATATACGACACTTCACACTCTCATCAAAATTAAATATATGCAATTAGATGCAAAAAACACAATCAAGTGTCGCGGTTACCAACGTGCTTAATACACAAAAGCACCAAATCAGAGCTCAAGCAGGTGCAGGGGCACATTTATTGTCCCTCTATATACAGACAAATCCATTACCACCCATGTAAACAAGGTGGCCACGTTTTGTGAGGACCATTCACCATTTTCCGCTACTCCAACATGCATAGATTCCATTCCGCGACACATGTTGAGCAAAACAAGGGATCATAGATTCACAGCGGCAATCAACATCAAGAATCCAAACATAACCCCAAAGAGAAAACGACATAAAGGTGCCAAAACCCGAAGATCTCGGAACCTCCGCAACATTTAAAAGCCGCAAATTTTAACCAAAATTTTCAGACCCAGAATCCAAAACAAAAACAAAAACGGGGCCCCCCCAAAACGACACCTTTGGAAGAAAACGATAAAAAAAAACGACAGAAGAAAAGGAAAAAAAAGATGGGCAGGAAACATACAGAAGTTTTAGTATCGTAAGCGAGCCAGACGGTGGAAAATTGACCCCAACCGAGCTTCCTCTGCGCTATGTACCTGCCGGCGGCGAACTGATCGGCGAGCCTGACGGCGTGGTAGCCGCCTTTCCGGTAAGAGTCGAATCCCTCATCGTCTTCCTCCCCTGATGACGAAGAACACGACATGATCCTATGATCTCTCAAAAAGAAAAGGGCGATTCTGGCTTAGGAAAATTGGAAGGCTTTTGATATAATCTTGGTGAGTGGGAAATTGCTTGGACGCGAAGTCTTTGTTTAGGAGGATGGAGTGTTATTAACTTATTATATTTGCGGTGTGTGAGAGATGCAATTGTTTCCTTCCTTTCTCCACTTTTTTCTCACTCTTTTCTTTCATGTCAATTGTCATGTGCTCTGAATGTGGGTCTTTCGTTTTTCGTACCGACTCGTAGCCATCTTCTCTCATGACCATTATGCCCTTCGCTTTCCGCGGTTGCTTCACTTGTCTCATTGACCATTTTCGGGATTCATTCAACCATTAACTGCAACTGTTTCCAAGCCAGGTGGCGCAATCATGCTTTGCAACACCTGTTATTTCCAACATTATGCTCATGCACCTTTTTTTTATGCCTTTATGATTTCGTTTTTCAGGTAAAAACAAATGTTGATTGTTGAGTAATAATTTTAAAATATTTTACACTGATTCAATATATAATTTTTTTTTATGTTCTTTTTCTATCATATTATAGGTTTTTTTTCTTTCTCTCTCAACATGAGTTTAATGACATGTTAATTGTCCAAAAATTACTCACTTTTTTAATTAGGAACTAAAACAAGATACTAATTTTACTTCTTTGCTAATCATATCACGTTGATAGCATTCATATGTAATGAGTGAACCAAATTATGATAATTTGATGAGTTTAAAGTCTTGTTTTTATTTATTGGGTTTTGAAATTTTGTAGATTTGATTTGACTTATTAGTCCAATGTGTGATGAATGGCATTTCAATGTAGAACTAAAAATTCACGTATTTAATCACTTGTTTTTTTAATGGGAATTAGGAAGTAGTATTTGGTGCTTATTATTCTATCCATAATTGAATGCCCGGTTGCTCATGAAAGGTCAGCCTCTTTCTAACTACTCATTTATGAACGGATACAAACATCTTTCAAACTTTAAACTAATGCCTAGCTACTAATATGTACTGATATTTAACCAATAAGCTATAATTACTCTCTAATTTATAAAGTATCTAACATATAAAGTACAACATTGAATAACAGATTCACTCTCTATAGCTCATGGCATGAGAGTATCCAAAAATTGTTATTCAAAATGTTTCATTAACTTGTCTATTTTAGTCCTTGTCAATTTTTAGCTACTAAAAATTGTTATTTAATTATTCACTTTTAGTAGTTTTTTCGCACAATCTCAATCTATATACTAAAACAGGATATTTGTATTTATTCGTGATTTCAACAATCCGAAACTACAAATATTGAATTCAAAACTCACCAAATAAGAAAAAACTTTAAGAAAATATCTAACCACCTAAATCTAGTTTCATATAGCTTTTTTTTCCCAATCCAACACGCAAAATTAAATGCAGCGTCGTATTAATTAGTTGATGGTGAATAGATTGACACTACGTCACTACCCCCATTTAGATTAGTATTCCTTCAAAGACATTGTTTTTGCCGTTTATAATATGAGAATTGGGAGCAAAAGGTTGTTGATTCAATTTTTTTTTCCCGCAAAATATCATATAACATATGTACATACTGTATAAGTCAAAGTTGATCGTAAGTCAGAAAAATAATAGAATATTGAAATATCAAATTTGAAGGGTATAAGTTAAACGGTGGAGCAATGGAGTTGTCTCTTTCCTTCTTGAGTTGATCAACCGTGCCGAATTCAAAAACGGATTACGTTTTGTTTCTAATAGAACATATATTGATTGTTGAAATCTTACATATTTAAAGGAATGGGCAAGTTAGAGGCTTGATTTTGCACCGAATGAAGATGTGTCATGCCAGTAAAAAATTGCCACAACTTCTAATTATACTGCTAGATCAATTAATTAAAAAGAGAAATTACAAGAAGTTTGTCTAAATGGCATGAATCATCTTTTTTAATTTTTAAAAAATAAAGACCTCCTTTAATGTTAATTATATTTAATTTCTTAAATTATAAATAAAATTAAAAAATTGTCTAGGTAAAAAAATAATAAAATCTTTAATGTGTATGACTTTTTTTTGCCTTCATTCATCAACAAATTCCTTCTTTGTTATTATTATTTTTTTGTGCCTCTATTTAAGCAACTTTTTTTTAGGTTCTCTTCTTATATATTTTTTCAAACAAAATATAATTTCATAAACGTTGCATAATTACTCTTTTGGTGGTTCTAACATTTTACAAAGGAATATACTATTAGGAGTACAAAATCACATCCTTAATTAATACATCTAGAGTTATTTAAGTTTCTTAAACTTAATTGTGTAACTGGTAAGTGTCTAACTAGTCTGATGAAATCTGAATTTGAGATACTTATCTAGCACCATTTTTGTACATATTGATATAATTTTGGTCAATATATGTTTAGAATCAAAGAAGGACTCTTAATTTACATTATTACAGGGAGTGATGAGTCTTGTGATCAAATTTTGTGTTTATTTTGTAGGTTTTGAAGTCTGGAGGCAAATGGCTCAGCCCTTCAAAAGGGCTGAGCGCTTTCAAGTCAGAGAGCCCTTCAAAAGTGCACCAAACTGGAGGCGCTCAGCCACTCCAAGGTGCTGAGCGGTTTTGGCCCTGGAAGAAGGAGTGCTCTCTGCCTCCTAGGCGCTCAGCGGATCTAAGGCGCCCAGCCCCTTGTGCTTGCTTAATAGTGAAGAATCTTCTAGGCGCTCAGCGGATCTCAACAGCTCAGCCCTTTAGATTACTTCATGATGAAGAATTCTTCAAATCGCTCAGCCGTTTCAAGGCGCTGAGCTGATTCTTCTCTTTCCTGCCTACTCTGTTTTAATTCCAGCACTTATAAAAGGGTAGAGGAGGGAGAAAAAGGGGCATCACTAGCTGTACGAAGAGAAGAACAGAGAGGAACCAGGAACATAGCACTTTGGAGCTCGTGGGGACGCGATTCTTCAAAGGATCTCTTTCTTCTACCTTTCTCCTTGTTGTTTAGTGATTTCTTGTACCATGGAGAGCTAAGCTCTATGGTTGGGATTGATGTAATCGTCGAACTCCTTTGTATTCCTCTTTGATTCATATATATATCTCATATATTACTCAATGTCAGTGATTTGTTTCCGTTCTTAATGCTTTGATGAACTAATCATTTATCTTTGATTTTGGATTTAGAATTTGGTTGGAAAACGTTTTCTGAATCTAGACTTGGAACGAATCACCTATTAGTTTCAAAAGTCAGGAATGATTTTGGAATTAATAGTTGTAATAAGTTCTGACTCTTAATACGGGATATTTAACTGAATGAAGTGAGGAATCATTCATTGAGTTAAATATCTTAGAATTTCTTATGCCAAGGAATTGGGTCTGAATGAATATAGAAAACTCAATGACCATGAGTAATGGAATCATTTGAAAGAATCAATAGGAATGCATAGGAGGGAGATTGATGAAATCTAATCCCAACTGTTTCTCATATCTGTTTTCCTTAAATCTAATCTGACTTTTGGTTACTTAAATTTGATCTATCATTCACATCAAATTTTAAACATGTATGATTACTCAAGTTGTAAATTTACAAGTACCAATTAGTATAATAGAAATCAAAGCTTACTTCACAAGTCATTGAGGATCGACAACCTTTTAACTATATTACAGAGACTTGGGTGCGCTTGCTCAGAAAACTAACAGTAACACCGTATATTTTAGGTGTTTAATTTAATCATGGGGTTGATGTTGTATTAAAGCTCTGGGGGTCAAGGGACCTCGAGAGTTAAGTTACCTTTGAGATAGTTAAGTTAGATGTTAAGTGGGTTTAAAGTAAGGAAGGGTATATACGATTTTCTTAAGACATAAACATCATAAGTTCATGTTTTATGAAAAGTAAAAAGAACCTAGAGAGAAGGTCTCTAGAGCTAGAGGACCTTATTTTCAATGATCTCTTATACTTTTTCCCTAC